TAAGGGAGTGGGTGGCATGAATGGCATTCTAACCCTGACAAGCTGATTGAGTAAGAAGCAGAGAAAAAGAGAAATAATTGGGGGGGTGGGGTTAAAGAAAAGAGAGGAGAGGGGACTCCTGATTCCTTTCCATTCACTTTCCTATTCCCAGACTAAAAGCAGCAAAATGGCAGGGAGGGCGCTGGTTCCTTTGGGTGGTGGCAAAATGCCTGTAGACGGCAAGGCAACAGAGCCACGGGAAGGGCAGGGGAGGCAAAGGCTAGCTAAGAAAGCGGTCGGGGACACTGGAGCACAAGCAACTTGTGCTGTAATAATTCAGTGGCAAGCAGCCAGGAGGCCCTGTTGTTTTGCTGCCAGAGAGCGGATGTGGCCAAGCTATGCCTTTGGACTGGGCAGCAGGAAGGATCCTAGGAGCTGAGCTGAGCTGGGTGCTCCTCTGCAGCAAGGAGATGGTCAGAGGAGAGGAGAGAAGAGAAGGAGCTGCTTTGGGAGGGCAGCCAGCTCAGGTCATTAAGGTTCCTGGACTCAGACAGGTTTCAGACAGTAATTAAGAACAGATAAAATATTTTGGGAAGGACCATTTCCTGACTGGTTTCTCCGAGTAGCATCCAAGGGTCTCCAAATAGTTTATTCAAATGTGCATCCCTTGTACATTAAATGGAAGTTGCACCTAAGGGAATGTGACAGTAAAATTCAGATTATTAACTCTGGCAGCTCATTTCCTATGGAAGTGTAACTCTTACTAGAAATGAACACACTGGTGTAAAGAGGATTTTGACAGGAGCAGTGAAATCCAAATAAAAGAGGTTGACCCGAAGGGGTGGGAGAAACAGGTCAGTTACCCTAGATTAATGCTGGGTTTGAATTTTCTCCCTCTTTAGCCATCTTTCATTAACGGCTGCTAAAAGAAAGAAGTGTGTCACGACAATGAATTGTCCTGATATGAAACCTGTGTTCTGGACAAGGAACGACCCTTAGGGCAGAATATAGGGGCAGAGAATGTTTTCCCTTTGGCAAAGGGGTCAAGGCGAGGCGTATTTTGTCTCCTTTTCTGTTCAGTCTGTTTGCAGAACATATGATATAGAAAGCTGGGTTGGATTCAGACACAGGAGGTGTGAAAATTGGTGGAAGAAACACCAGTAATTTAAGATATGTAAATGATATAATATTGGCAGAAATCATTAATGACTTCAAGTGATTATTAATGAACTTAAAGGAAGAAAGTGCAAAAGCAGGATTTCAGCTAACTATTAAGACAAAAATAACAGCTAGTGGTTAAAGTTTTTCTATACTTTGGTTCAATCATCCATCAAAATACAAATTGCAACCAAGAAATCAAAAGACCAGGAAGGGCAGCGCTAAAGGAACTGGACAAGACCCTTAAGCATAAGGATGTAAAACAGAGAATAAGACTAAGATCATCCATACTGCGGTATTCCTGATTACTATGTACGCATTGAATGGAAACTGGAAAATGAAAGAAGTTGACATGGGGGGGTGAGCTTATTTGAAATGTGGTGTTGGAGGAGAGCTTTAGAGATGCTACAGACTGCCAGAAAGACAAATAGGTAGATGCAAAATCAAATCAAGCCTGAACCCTCCCTAGACGCAAAATAGCCTTCCTGAGGCTGTTGTACTTTGGATATACAGTGAGTGAATGGGACCCGCTGGAAAAGACAATAAAAGTGGGAAAAGCTGAAGGCAACAGGAAAAGAGGAAGACCATATACAGTATATGATGAACTGACCTGCTCAGGAAGCCACAACTGTGAGGTTGAAAATCTATATTTGAATTTTCTTTCTCTTGTTTTTAGTTTTTAATAGATATGTGGGGGAAAAACAATACAGTGGGGTCTTGACTTGAGAACTTAATCCGTATTGGAAGGCGGTTCTCAAGTCAAAAATTCTGTAGGTCAAGTCTCCATTGACCTACAGTGCATTGAAAACCGATTAATCCCGTAACAGGCCGTTTTTGTTCCATTTTGTTTTTTTCCTGGTCTGTAAGTCAAATCTCAGGCTGCAAGTCAAACCTAAATTTTGCGGCCAGAAAAGTCTGTAACTCAAAAAGTCTGTAAGTCAAGCCATCTGTAAGTCAAGGGTCCACTGTAATAAGGACATGTAAGGATATGACAGGGGTAAAACTGGATTTATATAATACAAAACAGAGTGAGACAGGGAGAGAGTTGCGGTGGATTGGGACAGACGCGTTCCCCCCCCTCCCAGGGTCTGTAGAAGAGACCAGTAGAGTCTATTAGCACTGTGACACACCAACCAGGACTAGTATTAGCTCTTTAAAAAATAAGTAAATTGGAATATGGTTAAACATTTAAAGTTTCGAACATGGAATGTTAAGGGTCTGGGGTCTAACATAAAGAGGGCTAAGATACAGAATGTTCCCCCTCTTCCCATCAACCCTGCAAGGACAGCTCGGGCCAAACAGAAGCCGCCGGCCCCAGGCCAGGCCAGCCAGGACGCTTGGCAAGTGGGCAGAGGCTGGGCTTTGGGGGGGGGCGTGTGCCAAACCGAGCCTCCCAACCCTCTCCGGTTGCCCTTTGCACCTCTCGCGCTGGCTGTGCAGGCGGTGGGAAGCCCAAGAGTCGCCCCGTCCCGTCCCGTCCCGGGGAGTCTCCCCACCGCATGGCTGGGAAAAGCAAGGAACACAAAGCAAGGAACGGGGTGGGGTGGGGTGGTGGAAGGGGGGGCTTGCACCGGCCCCAGAGCGGCCATGTGCCTCATAGGCGACTTC